CACCACCGGTGGGGACCTGGACCCTCCGCCAGGCAAATCCTGGCGCCACCCCTGGCACGATTACAATGAAGAAGCAGTTTTAGGAATTGTTTCGATAAACCACAATAAAAAAGTTTTTTGGCGGCTTCTGCGTTCCATAACCATTTATGTTTTAGGAACATTATAAAACTGAAGTAGCCAGAACTTAAATCGTGTTTATTACAGCATATTTTTATTTATTTTTATTTATTTATTCTTTATACTGGGTGGACTCTTCAGTCAAAAAGACTGTTCTCCCAGTGAGTGCCCAGTATACACACAGATAAAATGGAGAAAATAAAAGAAGTCCTAACAATAAAAAGTAAAAAAGACACCATAAAACTAAAAAGTAAAAATATATAAATAGATATGTAAAAATATATAAATATAAAAAGTTAAAAAAATTCCTAGTCCTAAGACCGAAAGGTCCACTGATAAAACTCAGATTAGAAAGTATAATACATACTCCAAGCACCGAAACGCACGCCACCGCGCCGGGACCCAACATCCCGACACCAGCCGTGTCACCATAAGGAATTGACTATTCCCGATGATAACACAATCAATGCCGAAACACGAGGGCGCGCACCCCGATACCCGGAGCATGCATTACACCATCTAGTCCTTAGAGTTCCAAACAACAGAACCCCTGAAAGAAAATCTTCTTCTACCAGATTCAGTTCTAGCTTTTGGTAAAAGTAAATTACCAGTAGAACTGGATCTGGTAGAATAGCTATGTACATCTCTTAACAGAGTAAAACAATTAAGGTGAGTAGGGACTCTGCCACTCAAGCATTTTTTAACTGAAGTAAGTAAATGATTATTTCTTCTTTCACATAGAAAGGACCAACCGAGAGATAAATGCATTCTAATTAGATTTGAGCGATTATCAGCTTTAAGAATCACTCGAGCAGCCCTATTTTGCAGCTTTTGAAGCTTGTCTTCCAAACCCTTCCCACAGTTTCCCCAAACTAAGTCACAAGTAGTAGTTGCATAAAGCAACTACTTATAACCAATGGCAAGGTAAGCATACTCGACAACTTAACGGTATGCTGTCACCTAGCATCACCTGTAGTACGGTACCTTGTATCTTGGTATTATTAAACTATAATGTGAATATTTTAATGTTGAATGTGACTGTCAATATTAATATACTGCACCTCTAGGGATATCTAGTCACCATGCTGGGAGTGCAGATGGTCAAACAGATCTGTACGTGATTGTTTAGAAATACAATTTTAAAAAAATGAATTGATGAAAACTATATGCGTTGTAATGATATATCTATAAATAATAATGATAATATTAATAATAATAATAATAATAATAATAATAATAATAATAATAATAATAATAATAAGGAAATGATAATAGTGTTATTACTGTTAATTTTAATAATACTAGTTTAACTAAATAGGCCTATTTAAGTTTAATAAAATTAAAAGGATAATAATAAATAAGAATAATAATCAATAATATATAATAAAATAATGCTAGGAGTGCAGATGATGAAACAGATCTGTACGTGATTGTTTTGAAATACAATTTTTAAAAAATGAATTGATGAAAACTATATGCGTTGTAATGATATATCTATAAATAATAATAATAATATTGTTATTACTGTTAATTTTAATAATACTAGTTTAACTAAACAGGCCTATTTAAGTTTAATAAAATTAAAATGATAATAATAAATAAGACTAATAATCAATTTATAAATAATAATGATAATATTAATAATAATAATGATAATAGTGTTATTACTGTTAATTTTAATAATACTAGTTTAACTAAACAGGCCTATTTAAGTTTAATAAAATTAAAATGATAATAATAAATAAGAATAATAATCAATAATATATAATAAAATAATGCTGGGAGTGCAGATGATGAAACAGATCTGTACGTGATTGTTTTGAAATACATTTTTTTTAAATTAATTGATGAAAACTATATGCGTTGTAATGATATATCTATAAATAATAATAATAATAATATTGTTATTACTGTTAATTTTAATAATACTAGTTTAACTAAACAGGCCTATTTAAGTTTAAAAAAATTAAAATGTTAATAATAAATAAGACTAATAATCAATAATATATAATAAAATAATGGAAATACAGGTAACAATGTAAATATCATGTTAAGATATTAAAACAATTATCGTTGTCATTTTCATGAATTGTATGTCTATTTATCGCATAGGCCTATTTATTGAATTTGTTTTCTTGTTCTACCAGTATTCTTTCTGTAATCATATTTTAATTTGATACTGTAAGTTTGTCCGGTTTTGTATTGTGCTGATCGAGTTAGGCATTGAACTATAATAACTTTATAATTATTTTATAGCTCGATGGGTTAGCCTATTATGTAGTGTAAGTTATGGTATGCGAGTAAACAAACACAATTTAATGAAGTGGTAATGACAAACTAACCGTTTTAACTACAAGGTCATTTTCCCCTATGAAGTATTGCCCGAGAACCCATTTCGAGGTAATTAGGTCAACCAATTTCCCCGGGGGAACAATCACTGACCGTTATAAAATATACCCCGGGTGACTGAAGATGTAAAGCCCTCCTTTTTCACAAAAATATTTTTAAAACTATTCAAAATGTGGATGTAGTAAGGTGGTTTTCATTATTTCATACTAGGCCAAGCTTAAAATTAAAACAAATTCATTAACGTTCATATGAAAATTGTATTATTAAATAAAAACAATTATGAAAGTAAATAAAAAATATCGGTATCATAGACCTAGATCCTATGCATAATATGTGACATGAATGTACCCTACCCAAGATGGGAAACTTTCCGTTGTGTGTATCAGAGGCTTGAGTATAATAGACCTTTCCGGAGTGTCAATCAAACTTAACAACTGACTAATCAGAACAGCGCTAGGAATACGCGCGCGTCTTACAAACACACGTGTTGTCCAAAAACGCACGTGTTCGCGTATGTTTTAACAATGCCGTCTTGTGGGACCTTATCAACAATATCCAAGGGGCGGAGCTTAGCGGAAAGGTCCATTCCATTGATAGTGTTCTTCTGTTTATAGGTCTACTGTCAGTGACGGAGAACAAATAAAATTATACGTATCAGATCAAAAAGTAAAAAGGGTGCAACCTTACCACATACAAGTTTAATCTAGACAAGTAATTTTAAAAGGCAGATAATCATAATGTCGCAATTGGTAAAATTGGTAAAAGTTTTTGTTAAAAAAATTTTAACGTGGGACTATAGTTTTTCTCATATCACTTGTTTAACCAAGTTCGTTCATCTCTAATTCGACATCAATCGTATTATTTTATCTTCAAATAAATTGTTCATCCGCGTCATAGTCGTATTATAATATGAATTTACTTGTTATGAATTAACGAAAAGATAAGCATAAACTACAAATTAAATGGCGGTAAATTAAGCTCTTTGCAAATGCACGAGGATAGCACCCGAAAGGTCTTCCAGTTTAGTGTAAACTTGAAGAATATAAGCCTAGAACTTTGGTAAAATGTGGTGGTGGAGTAAAACCCTTTTAAAAACTTCATCGGTTGGTGCTTTAACAGTAAATTTTGCAATTCCAGAGGAGGTATAAAAATACATTACTATATATTCCATTCTCTGGATGTTTGAGGAAAGAAATACTGTATATCATATCCCGACTTGAGTGTGGAATACCATGTCTGGATTGTTCTCTGTGCGAGGTTTTGGAGCCGGTATAGTGGAGTGCTCATTGTGAATTTTGTAGAACATTGTAGATCTTGCAATTTGTCAGTCATATTAGGGTTTTTGACGATAGACCACGGTGTTAAGCTGTAACAGGGGAGGATCCAGAGAAGTCCAAAAGGGGGCCGAAAATGGGGCTGATCGAGACAACACTACCCCAGGGTGTCCGGGGGCATGGCCCGCGAACTTTTGTTTTCTATACGCCCGATTTTCCAAAAAAGGGAGGGGGCCTCCACTAAATCCGCCCTGTGTATGGAAAGTTTATTTTGTTGAGGGTGACTCTGGCAGCACGGCGTTGCATCTTTCTAGAACATCTACATGAGGATTCACAAACTACATTTTTCTTTCACTTTTTTTTCCTGAAATTGGTCTGACAATTGACCTCTAAACTTTTGTTTTTTGTTTTTTGTTTTTTTTTCATTTTGGTTACTTAAAGCCAGGCTCCGGAGAATTTGGTTTTTTTTTGGTATGTTATACAACTGATGTTTTTTAAAGACACATATAGCGGTTAATGAGATACAGATTTTGAATATTTAAAAGCTGGGGACAAAGGGGCGTAACCAACCCCTTTCCCACCTTTTTTCGCCAAATAGGCCTATGCCTTGTTTTAATCTTAGGAAATAGAACATGGTCCACTATTTAAACGGTGGTGAATCCAATAAATAATAATAATTAAAGAGGGTGCGTCAAAAACAGTTAAATGGAAGAAATATAAACAAAGTCAGATTTACAAAAGATACTTAAAAAATCAAAATACTGTTCAAATTCCAAAAGAATATCAAAGTTAGTAAACATTAATATTTCCTTATTCAGTTAATATGAACTAAAATGTGATCTTAAACTAAAAAACTAAAGGCAATATCATTTACGTGAAGTGGCCTGAAAAACACAGATACACATAATAAAATTTATAAAAAACTAAACAAATCATAAAAAGTAATAAAGGACTGACGTTAATAATTGTCCTAAAAGGTCTTTTAATAGAAACTTGTCTTTCATGGTGAAAGGCCCTTCGGCCTGAGCATTTTCGGATCGCATTGTATGCTGTGCGTCGCCTTTTCGCGCGGGTATTTTTAAAATTTTTATTTTCATTTCCGTATTAAGAAGAAATGTTCATGCTTCGTTCCGATTCGCTGAGGCTTAAGGTCAGTATAGGCAATCAAATGGGTGTGGGTTCTTTTTCAGGGAATCTTTCAGGCCACCCGCTGATTGGCTACGTATAATTTACTTGTCAATGAGTTTGGTCACTAACCGGTAACAATTCATACTCACGCATCATACACATTTACACACACTACATATTGCTCTCTCGAAAGTCACGTGGAAGTATATCCAGTTGTTTGTGTATTAACTGTTACTACTAACTAGAGACCATCAACCTTGTAGGCCAAATATATCGGATTTCTGTATTGTCAGGCCAGGCCAAGTTTGGGTCAGCTCCTAATGTTACTTATATAACCACCCATGATACGGTTCCCCGGATTGTCTTTTTTTTCGTGGAGTATATACTAAGGAATAACTAGGCCTCTGGTCTAGGCCGTACGAGGAATCAGCAGTTGTACGGGAGAGGAGGCTGTCAGCTACCACAGAAGGAGGATGGCCTCAACTTCAGGTGCTTAGCTCGTTTCTACCTTTCTAACCCTTATTTTGTATGGAACACGTTTAAAATTCACAATTCGTGGATCTGAGGTTAATAAAATCCTCAGCCTAAAGCTTTATTGTTTGTACATTACTGTGGGTTTGATCGAATACTAAGTAAATTTATAATTATTAGGCCTCAATATAAATCTGATGGACATTTGATACGGATTAGGATTAGGCAGATCTATTAAATTACAGAGATTACTGGTGATTAATCAATTAATCACATTGCAAATTTGCACTATCAAAAAAGAGACAAATTCCCGAATATGCGTAGGCCTATAGTTCCTTGTCCGACCCTACACGGTATGCAATCAACTGGTGCCGTACGCGAGATTTAATTCTTTGATGTTCATGCTATCATCAGTATTTAAGTAGGCCTGATATTATATACAAAATGGTCTTATATTATAATGAATGTGTAATAATTTCAAAAAGTTCAGCAAGTCTATAGGCCTACTTGTTACAAACACTTTGAAACAAGTTTTTTCGAAGTTTGAGTTTTACATTTTACAATTAATCTTCATTGTACATTTTTATTTCTCAAAATAAATGTGCAAAGTATGTTGATTATTTAAGAGAAAAGGGTAAAAACAGAAATGTAACGTGTACAGAAACATTTAATCATGTAGTAGTTTTGATCAACTTGAATACAAATGGAAATACAACTTTACATTCATGTACAGTATAATATGCCTACTAAACATTTTGCACATTTAAAAACTCATTCTTCATTGTAAATTCCTCATTTCCAAAATATTTGGTGATTTTATATATTTAAGAAAATAGATATAGCAACAATGTATATTATATATATATATAATATATATCTGTCTCTTATACACATCTAGATGTGTATAAGTAGAACAAAAATATGAACATAGATAAATCATGTAAATATAGATAATTAACTAGAATAGAATAGATAAATAACTAGAATAGAAATGAAAAATATAACTTTATGACAATATCGTATATAATGTACTATAACAATACTTGCTTTTGTATATTGAAGAAAAGAGGTAGAAAAGCAATATAAATTGTACAGAAACATACATAAATGATGTGAATAGATAATTAACATTTAGGAACAGAAATTAAAAATATAAATTTATGACAATATATAATATACTATAAAAATATAGGCCTATTTTGATTTGTATATTCAAGGAATAGGTAGAATATAAATTATAAATTTTTCAGAAACAGATAAATCATGTAAATAGATTAACTTTAGGAATAGAAATTAAAAATATAACTTTATGACAATATAATATGTACTATAACAATATATTTTGATTTGTATATTCAAGAAAATAGGTAGAACAGTAATATAAATTATACAGAAGCATAGATAAATCATGTAAATAAATTAACATTAGGAATAGAAATGAAAAATATAACTTTATGACAATATATAATGTACTATAACAATACTTGATTTTGTATATTCAAAAAAAGAGGTAGAACAGCAATATAAATTGTACAGAAACATACATAAATAATGTAAATAGATTATTAACATTAGGAATAGAAATGAAAAATATAACTTTATGACAATTATAGTGTACTAATATAGTATGCCTATATACAGTATATTTTGATTTGTATATTAAAGAAAATAGGTAGAACAGAGGCCTAATATATACTGTACAGAAACATAAATAAATCATGTATTGACTTTAGGAATAGAAATGAAAAATATAACTTTATGACAATATATAATGTACTATAACAATACTTGATTTTGTATATTCAAGAAAAGAGGTAGAAAAGCAATATGAGTTGTACAGAAACATACAAAAATAATGTAAATAGATAATTAACTTTAGGAATGGAAATGAAAAATATAACTTTATGACAATATATAATGTACTATATAGTATGCCTATATACAGTATATTTTGATTTGTATATTCAATTAATTATTACTAATAAAATTATTATTAATTATTTACTTTGTTTTTGTAATTATACTCTATTGTTTTTGCTTTGTATGTATTTGAGGGTCCCAAATGATCAGCCCCGGCTGGATGGACCACCCTCACAAAATATTGTTGAAATAAATAAAATAGGTAGAACAGTAGGCCTAATATACATTGTACAGAAACATAAATAAATCATGTATTGACTTTAGGAATAGAAATGAAAAATATAACTTTATGACAATATATAATGTACTATAACAATATTTTGATTTGTATATTTAAAAAATAGGAAGAACATTAATATAAATTATACAGAAACATAGATAAATCATGTAAATAGATTAACCTTAGGAATAGAAATGAAAAATATAACTTTTATGACAATATATAATGTACTATAACAATACTTAATTTGTATACTTGAAGAAAAGAGTTAGAACAGCAATATAAATTGTACAGAAAGAACATAGATAAATCATGTAAATAGATTAACTTTAGGAATAGAAATGACAAATATAACTTTATTATAGAAATGAAAAATATAACTTCCTGACAATATATAATGTACTATGACGATACTAGTGTAAGTTATGTACTGTACATTTTGAATCATCTTTTACAACTGTAACCCAAAAATGTGAAGTATAGAACTTTGATCATACATGTAAGGTTTGCACATTTATTACTCTACATCGTAAATTCCTATTTCCAAAATAAAAGTGTAAAGTTGCTTGATTTTATTAATAAAAGGTAACAACAATAATATATTATAAAGATACATAAATATTCATGTTAACTTTAACATGGAATGAATAAATATAGGTATTCCAAGGTGATCAGATTAAAAACCAATAAACATTTTATATTTTGTATTACAGTACCACGTCAAATTATTATTAACTTTCTAAATGTATTTCAAGGACGGTTAAAAAAAATAGGCGAACATTTCAAATTGATTCTTTCAAAAAATGCCGATTTTCATTTGCTACAATTATTCATGTTCCATTTAACACTATTTGTAGATTGATTCTTGAGAGACTGGCCTAACATAATTTTTGACCTACAGTATAATACTCCAATGTAGTTCAACTTACTAGAGACATTTTACGCTAGGTATTCATAAAAATATAAAAATAGCAATTTCTTGTTATTCATTCGTAAGCTATGCGCTAACCATGGAGCTGTTGATAAGAAATATGATAAGCTACTTATGCAAATTACATTTGACCTTATAGTGGACTTCAATGGACACAATGGTTTGACCCTTTGTGCCATTGCGCTGTCCATCGGCCTGATAAAGGTTTAATATCTGACAAACTTAGACCTTCTAAATACCGGATATATCCTTGATGAGCGTAACTTAAATCATCCTTTAAAAAGTACTATACCAAAATTTTTTATTTTATTTAATATATTTTATTTCTTTAGGCACATATGTGCCAAGGACTTACTTTAAACAACAATATTAAACAAGAAGAATTACAAACTTTATAGGTAATAATATGTTTTATCTCATCTAATAACAAAATGTATAAATGCATAATATATAAGGAATATATTTTAGTAGCCATATAAATCTATGTAATATTTTGTAAAGTATAATAACTGTGCATAAACGTATATGATAAACGTTATTATTTCTTAACATGTAGTCTTTTAACTTAAAATATTGCGTTGTGAAAAGTTTTTTAAGTAAAAGATTTGTAAAATATTATAGGAATCCGCATTGGTACCGTATTGGTAGCTGAAATTGTTATATGCATATTTTTTCTTCGTTGACCGATTACCATTTACCATGTTTACTTATATAGGCCTATATCATTTACATAATAAACACAAACCGTTTGAATATAATCATAAGTTGGTGTTGATGTAAAACCTCTCCATGTTGGAACTGTTGGAATTTTTATAGGCTGTCCATTTTGTTCTGCTGAAAATTATTATCGGAATTATTCCTCGTTTCTGTAAAATTCCTTGTCTATTTATAGCATTTTGGAACTGAAAAAACTGTGTTAAATGTTTTACCATTGGACACGCGGCTACTACCTAGGAGTACAATTTACCCTGTTTTAAGAAATCGTTTATGATAATCTTTACAATATCTGGTATAAATCAGAATGTGTGCTTTATGATACTACGTTTAAGATTTTAGTAGGCCCGTCGTACTGTGTGTAGGCCTATCTGACGCGTAAGACCTTTTGAATATGTCATATGTTAGGCTGCCATGATGACTTATCGTATGAAAGTAGAGGCATTCGGCTGAAAAAGCCGCAACGACCGCTAAACTGTACTTCCAACTGCACGGTACGCCATTCCCTTACATGCAACAATGCCCCAAATGGTCGACAGCACTAAAAAAAAAATTGGCGTATTGTTATAATATATGAAGCTCTACTCTGCTATTAAAGTTTCGTAGATTTTCATTTTCTAGATTGTGGACATGATATACCACTGTACATTTATTACTTTTATTTTTAATTAATACATAAGATTAATTTGACGAGGCGTATGAAAAGGCTAACAAAGTGTTGACCATCACCCATTTTTAAAACTTATTCTTTCATATTTTTTCATTCCTTGCAAAGGTTTAAGATTATATTTTGTACAAATATGTAATGTTTATTACCGCGAAAACGTAAAATTGAAACTGTTATGACATGATCTATTTTTGAAATTCGCTCGAGAAGTAAGCGTGTGATTTGGTGTGTGCACACACTCACGTATTTGATGTTCTACCTGTACCACGTTTCAGTGATGAACATGGCTAATGTCCAACCGCTGACTATTTGAGCTAGGCCTATTACTACTAAAGGTAACAATTTCCACACGGTGGGTAGCGTAATCCGGTCGACATAATGAATCGGTCAGTGCGCCTTTGCCATCATCAATAAGGGTTAGTTCTATGGTTTGTCGAGAAGGTACACTAGTTTACTGGTCTTAAAAGCAGGTAGGCCTTGATATAGACATTGGTTTCAAATAGTACATACGGGTACCAGCAACTCCGAAATTAGTATATTTTGAGTCAATAAATCTTCAAGGTATCGAATAGTGCAGATTTGGCAGAAGAGTATTATGTAAACATCGAATTGTAAGATATCATAAGCTCACGAGATAACGTCACAGGTATAAGCTTACGTAACTGTGTAAGTTAAGTTATTATCTTTTAAGAACCAACTTAATTATATCTTCTACCGTACTTCCCTAGGACTATGTCTAAAGCCAAAAGTCAATATTGGTACAACTGACTCATTATAGGGCTTTACGTTAAAATACATTAAGATTTATATTTTTGTTTTTCATTCTTAGTTTTGATTTGATACCAGTCTTTGTAGGCCCTGATATATATCTGTCTCTTATACACATCTAGATGCTTATCTTGAGTGGATTGGAGTTGACACCATAATTCACAGTTTTGATATGATAACAAAAAGCAAGATCGTATTTGTTGATAGGCCTATAAGATAGAAAATTATACAATTGCGCAATTTTCTATTAAATCACGATTTTACGATCATATCTTGATGGTTCAGGGCTAAGCGCGTCAAGTGCATATTGCGTTTCGAGGCCCTGGCAAAGTTCAGTGTGATAAATATCAAGAACATTCCTTTTAGTTGTTAGTTATCGAATGAAAACTCTGAGATAGTTTAATTAACCAAATTTTAAATCATCATTCAAATAAAGGCAGTAATTAACAAGTTGAGCATGTTTATTTTAACAGGTAAAAGGATGTAACGATTGACCATCCGATCATTTTATTTTTTTAAAAATCTAGAAAATAATTAACTTGATGTCAATTACCTTGCTTTTTTAGTACAATAGTTAAGTACATATTAGGCTCAATTTATATAATGATGACATTCAAAACTTGCTTACTATAATAATAGTGAAATATGGCATACCTAGTAGAATAAGGACTATGTTAATACAGACTTCATGGTAAAACATTTATATAGTTTATTTGCTTATGTTAGGCCCAACTGGGAGTTGGTATGCATTTTAATGGAAATGGGCCAAGTACGATACAATGTTCAAAAAATGTTAGAAAAAAGATTTATGGGACACGGTCTTTGGATGAGTTATTCTAATGTTAAGATAAATATCACGTAAACATAATGTGGTGTAAATAAAGAACGTGAGTATTGTTCGTCAGCGTGACTTCAGTCGATGTCTTGCCGTGGCAATAGTTAACGGGTTTAAAACACACAATCATTATTACCGCTTCTGGTAAAAAACAAATAAGGTAGGCTTAAAGCCAGGCTTCGCAGGAAAAGAATTGATAGACCTATGTTCTTCAACTGATTTTTCTAAGACAAGAAATTGTGTCAGACGAAAAACTCTGGGACGGTTAATGAGATACATATTTTTTTAATACTGTATTTATAAACATTCAGAAAAAGGTGGAAAAGGGGTAGTTATTTCCCCTTATCCCCAGTTTTTAAATATTAAAAACGGCGTTAAAAATGGCGTTTGATGAAAAAAAAGTTTTTCATCAAACGCCATTTTTGTGTCTTAAAAAAATCAATTGTAAAACATAGGCCTATCAATCAATTTTTCCTCCGGAGCCTGGCTATAAAAGCCTTGTACAAACCACGCCTGCAGATGGCTACCACCAGTCACTTAGTGTGCGGTTTTATGAAGTTTAACATAATGTAAATTGGAACGCTTTATAATGAACGAATGTATATGATTACTGTCTTTCTCCTCAAACAGATGGAGCGCCAAAGCAAGAAGATAGTATGTCTAACAACGAAACTCCTCGCGAACAGGAGAGTATGACTTATGAAGAAGCCGTCAGGGAAGGGTTTGAACAGATGGCAATAGATGCGGACGGAAAGAAGGTGGATCCTCGTAAGGCCGCCGGCTCTCAGAATGAGGGTGAATTATACACGGGCAAGTGCAAATTTTTCAAAGTACACGAAGGATATGGATTTTTGTCCCCTGACGACGGAACAGGAGACGTTTTTGTGCACCAGGTGAGTAGACCTACACCATTTCAAGGTGTTAAACCTACAAAAGTGTACTTTCTTTCATTCATTCATTCATTTATTCATTTATTTGGTCAATATCAACATATACAAGGAAAAAAACAAATAAAACCACTTAAAAACCATCTAAAACAGTAATTCTTTTTTTAAATATGTAAAATTTCTTTAAGAAATATTTTAAAAATCGAAGAAAAAAGGGTTAAAAATTCAAAGATAAAAGGGTTAAAAATTTTGAAATACACAGAAACGAGATAATGATTTAAGAACGGTAAAAAATAAGTTAACAACAGTTAATAAAAACATCAGTATTGAGATTTATCGGAACTAATAAAAACTATTAAAAACGTAAAAAAAAGCGGTTTAAAAAGTTGTTACAGAGTACTGTGGTACCATTAATGAAATTGTACGAAAAACGGGGTACCATAATTAAAGTTAAATTTTTAAAAATATTTAAAAAGGAGCAGATGAAAAAACAAGAAGTTAATATCGACCAGGATAGCCCAAGAAAACCAACTACATAGGTTTATTTCCGTTGGGGTCCTGAAGCTCGCATATTCTCCACACGTAGTCCTATTAGCGAACAGGCGTATTCATTTTTCGATTAGGCCTAATATATATTTTTAATAACACATTTTGCACAATCAGTGGCATAGTAGATAGGAAACCTAATTATAAAATTCAAATAACTAATGAAGTTGGTCATCAGTTATATTTTTAGGAGCGAAAGTTTGAGCACCTTTTTAAAAGAAGAAGAAAGATTAATAGGTAAATTGATTGATTGATTATTTATTTGATTATTAATCATAAATGAATACTATATATATTCAAAATGATGTGTTGATAAATATTTATTTAAAAAGATTTACTAATACCGGTACAAATATCAAGTAAAATTGTTGGTATTTTAATTTCATTTTTATTTATCAATATACTTATAAAAGTTCTCCATCATAATATGGATTTAATATAAAATTTCACCAAAAAGATTAGTGTACTTTAAAAAGCAATGACCCTTTAACGTAATTCTAGGATTACTATAGTTTAATTATTGATCATTATATAAAATAATAATATAGGCCTATTAAAATATATGCTTAGGCCTAGAGTACTTATGTATATGGTAGTCTGCCCACATTGTTATTTTTACCTTTATTAATATTGTTGTATTTTAAAATAAATGAATGTTTTGATATAAAACACGATATCAGTCAAATTCTGTTACAAAAATATTTATTTCTTTGTACTTATTATTTATTCTATAAATTCTACATACACACATACAAAAAACATTCGACACACCCTCGTACAAAAGAATTGTAAAAGACAAAATATAAAGTTCGGCACAAAAAGACTGGTTAGCGGCGTGTCAAAATAGTGAAATCATACGAGATTTAAATGTAAAAGACAATAATATGAAAAATGCAAGAATAACAGAATTATGGTCATATTAATTATATTATTGATTTAGACGAAGAGAAAAATAATCATTAAAAAAGAATAAATATTACGGTTTATTTTACCATCCCAGTGTAAAACGTTTCATATACATGCAATTAGAGGAATATAAGTAGCGGGTTATATTTCATAAACGTAATAATTGCACATAATAACTTTCTGACCAATTGGTGTTCCAGGCCTACAAAAATCAAGTAATTGAAATATAGAGGACTTATTCCAGGAAAGTAGCTTAAAGAACAATAGGCTATATCTACTAAACATAGAGGTGATAGAGTAAGGTATAGGGTAGAAAATATGTTTACATACTGTAAGTACCGGTACTATACAGATGTAGTACCTATTATTAATATGCATTTAATATCTTAGAAATGAAAATATATCTTCAATTTTGTTATGGTTTATTTTTTCGAATATTTTGAGCGGCAGTACAATCTCGAACCTTGAGTTGATCGGCCCTTGTGAGCCTCCTCTTTCTTGAGCCTCCTCTTTCTTCAGCCCCTCTGCTCATCAGCACCATTGTCCAAGTGCCGTATGAATAAATGATCTCACTCTGGGTGGAAAGGCCTCTCAAGATAGGCCTACGAAGGGATTCTGCGTTTAACATCTTCACCATGGCCAACATACTTAGGTTCTAGAAATTACAAAAAGGGAGTGAGCGGTGGTAGTAACCCATTGTATACCTATGCATATATGTATGCTGCACTGATGTGGAGCTGTCTCTTATACACATCTAGATGTGTATAAGAGACAGCCTTTGCCATCATCAATAAGGGTGTAATTTTTGGAGGAGGTACCACTGTGCAAAATGCTGAAAAATGGAATTAGAAAATTATTATTCATACCACTACTTCTTACTGATATTAATAAGAGATTTCTCGAGGCAGTGAGAATTGAAAAAACCCCTTTTTTAAGTTATTGCCCTGAAGAAAATGTTCATTTCTTTGTCATTTTGACCACTTGCAAACACATTGTGTGTTTTTAGCATGTGACTACCTGTACAAAATAAGACCTCCATGATACAAACAAGTAGGCTTAAGTGGTTTTTGCGGCTGTAACTTTAGTTCAAAGTTCATTTGAAATTCTTTTTCTTTCTTGTGCTTTTTTCAGAAAGATTCTTTCGAGGATTGAGATGCTAAAAATTGAATCAATACGACACACTTGCCAGTTTCTGACATTTTATTGAAATGGCAGAGATTTGTCAAGTAATTAAAATTAATGTAATTAAACACTTACGGTATTCCAAAAACATATTACGACATGTAATGTAATCGACAATCATAACCCACCGTTCCATACTATGTACACAAACCTGATTTGTCAAACACAACCCTATACACACAATTAATACAATGTATGTCACTTTATATTATTTGCTAGGATGATTGTACCATGGATAAGTTTAAAATAGTATTCCTCTATGATTGTGCTGTGTTCTTCTTACCGATGATATTTGTTTACATCATGTACTCTATACCGTAATTGAAATAAAAGAAAAACCTCCACTATCTACGAAAACAATCAGTTAATCACGCATTCTAGGATATTATTGAGTTAATTACGATACGTTAGTTTACGTTTGTTTAAAAGCGCATTGAGGTTTTTGTTTTGATATTTATGTGCTATATAAAAACATAATGATAATTATTATTATTGCAAGATGTCAGCAAACGCCATTTACATAAACTAATAATACCACTTACTGAAAGAAATGTACAGAGGTAAAGTAAAGAGATCGAGGATTACAGTATTTGAAGAATCACTGAAATAATCAGCGTTCTATATTCATATAAGCGCACATAGCATGATTGCAGATTGCCTTTTATTGTTAAATTTTCAGGCTTAATAAAGTTAAAGCAACTGATAACTGTTGAATTGTTTGGCGAATTTATAAATCTGAAACGTTTTTATAAAGCGACTTGATACTGTGCCAGTTTGGACAGGTGTGGCTGTTTACACGAGGAATTATTGATAACACAGTGAATTCAGATTTGTATTACTGTATTATCAAATTTTAGCATTTTAGAGAAAATAATAATCACGGCATGCATATTAATTATATTTGGTATGGAGAATAAATACTATGCTATAAATCTATTGAGAAAAAATCATCACCATAGGTAACTATCTGGCCTTTACAGTAAATAGGCATGACGTTTTGACATTCCAAGCACATTAACATACTGGAGAAAGTCATCCATTTTCTTATACCAAAAAAACAAAAAACAAACGAACGAACAGGTTGTAAGAATATATTTAAGCCAAGTTTTGTTTATTTTTCTCAAAATCAGCCCTATTTTTATTATATTTACACCGTACTAAGCCAACTTTCTTTACCCAGAAAAGCAACCCAAATATTCGATACATGTTTTTTCTGCTGCTGTTAATCTATTAAAATTGAGATTATTATTCGTATAAATTAATTTCTCTGTTCTGAAATGAATACTCTAAATACTCTAAATAATACTATAAAACGGATATATAACCCACTTTATTAACATGACAATATTTCGACTTTAAATGCATGGTGCAAAATACTAAACTTATTTTTCTTGATGTGTTTGGCCAAAGCTACTGTAGTTTTAGCGTTAAGTTCGTTTTAGATACAGGAGACTTGACAAGTTCTGGAGACTGATTGCAAGATCATGGATACTCCAACGGATAAATAATCAATTTTAAAACACGTCAATGGTTCGACCAATGAAATATATTAATGTGTGCTGCAATACATTATACTTTTTGTGATGTATCGTTTACAAACTACAGTTCTCCTTTAGCGTTAAGGTTTGTTTTAGATCCATGGACACTTGACTACAGTGTTCTAAAGACTGATTGCAATATTTTGAAGATGAAGGTTCTATAATTATTTACAAAATGAAACAGACAGAATCGTAAAATCGGTTGTATTAATACAAAACTGACCATTGTTGAGAAGAATTATTTTAAATGTATTACGTTACAACCTGGTGTTTTCTGTGGTTTTCCTGCAGCTGCTCCAGTAAGCATAATTTCTACTATTCATATACCGAACAATATTGTAAAATTTATGATCCGACATACTATAAATGAGACACAGATTGGTCATTATTTTGATCTGGGAATATAAATAGATAGTACACGTATAGTGAAGATAGTATGGAGGTTAAGATGATTGCATTTCCAAGTCTCCTGGTTCAAATTCCGTCGAATTCCAGGTCTTTTCACGAATGATACAGTAACATTATAATTTTATTATCATCTTTATTTATCACCAATGTAGGTGTATGTAAGTTACTATCATGATA